TTTTTTTTTTTCTCATCTTTTCAACAGTTTTGCAGTTTTGATGACAATAACGATGACGACATTGGGCAACATTGATGGCTGTCGTCTGTTAGCAGTAAACACAGACAACCAACTGACTGTTGAATTTTTTTTTTACACTTTTTTCCCCTTTAACACCTCAAATTCTTCTCAACTCATCTTTTAAACTTAGGGCCAAAAATTTGAAGCTGAAAAAGTGGTGTTGCTGCTGCTGCTGCTGCTGCTATTATTATTCTTCTTCTGCCGTCTTCTTTTCAATCATTTCCTTTTTTTCATGAATTTTTATTTGTTTTTCTTTGTTCCCATAGTAACAGAAATTTAGAAGAAAATTAAAAATACAAATAAAGAAGTAAACAAAGAATGGCAACAAAAAAAAAAATTTTTTTCATTTTTAGCTTTTTGTTGTTACTGTACTGTCTGTCGTAACTTTATATCATTCGTTGATTACACTGTTTTTGTTCATATTTGTCTACCTTTTTTTTCCCTTCTTTACACGTACATATATATATATATTAATATAAATGCATATTTATATGTGTTCAGAGAAATATATATATTTAAATATAAATATAAACATGCATATTTGTGGTATAGCGCATGTAAAACAGGTGGGTAAACGGCAGCGGTGATATAGGGTTGCTAAAAGTGGATGAAAAAGCAAAACTATTTGGCTACATTTTTAGAGACGGACAAATTTGTCGATAGGGTAAATTATTCATCTGTGTAAAGCAGAAGATTTGAAAAAAGAAGTCATTTTTTCCTCATATTAATATGACAAATTGTGGAAAGCAAATTATTTTTAGAATTTTTTCTCATACTTTGCATTGTGATTTTTTCTTTTCTTTCGTCATCTTTTCTTTTGTTCAAAATTTTTACCATTGTTATCGTCTCTCAAAAATCATAACAAAATACTGCAGGAGAATTGTTTAATGGGAGAAGTATCGGTGCACAAATGGCAAAGTGTATGTATCATAAAATTGCAGCAGTGGCTTAACTTGGTTTCTTCTGCTGTTTATTTGACTGAAAAAAAAAAAAAAAAAAGGATAAAATCAGTCAAAATTATTGCATTACAGAAATTTTTAACCTTTTTTTTTTTTTTTTTTTTGATAAACAGAACGAAGAAAGAATAAAATATAATAAAGCTTTGCTTCTTGAAACATTTACTTACACATTCATCACAGTGGATAACTGACACTGCATTTATAACTGTGTATAACTTTGCACTATATACTATTTGCTTCAATAAGTTTGAGCATTTGCTAAGTGA